ATTGTTGTCTATTGCTTCTGTATTGTTGTGATTATTGCTTCAGGCGCAACAAGTGGTATCAGAGCCAGCCCTAAACCGTTCGATCCACGCCGAGCGCCTCGAGGGAGGTAGGCAGGGTGGCCGGCCTCCGTGACGAGGGCGTCACGAGGTTGGGTGCGGGAGAATGTCACGGACCTAAGGGGGAGTCCTGAATCCCACATCGAACATAATAGGAAGGTCCCTGGGGTATAAAAGGGTTCACACCATCTCTGCCTTGTGAGGCGCCTTTTGTAGGACAAAACCGTGAGGTCAAGGGGGCCAGAGCGGACAATACCTCACAAGGGTGTGAACCGTGGCGGAAGGCTGATCTGGGACGCCGGAAGGGTGAATGCCCGGGTCCCGGAGCCGCGCGGGTTCGGAGCTTGAGTCTCGACCCGTGACACCAGCAGCGACATCATCAGAAAATGGGGAGATAGCCCTTCAACAATCATTCCCCTTCTACGGGAGTTAATGGCTAACGGACTCAGAGTGTGTATTTTCAGGTAATAAAAGCATTGCCGTGATCCATATTTATACATATTATCATTGCCTTGTTTACTGGGTGAAATCATGGGAAGGCAACAGAATAGTAGACCAAAAGACCCAAAACTTTTCCTAGACTGTATCAACTAACCCTCGTGGCCCCGGACTAATAGTTGGACTATATAGAAGAAATTCACCCTTTACCATAAAAAATTGTTGTATCAGATCTTGATAGGACAACTCAATAGACATACCGGCTAAACCTTTTAAGATATTCAATAGAAGGCTGTTCGTAAATCTTACACGTCTTTGTTGCATGTCACGCAGTGGTGATACAGATGGAAGGATACCAGTACTTCAACCAAGTACTTCATTAATAAGATGAAACTTCCAGTTAAAATAAAATGGCATCCTTGGTACCTTCATGGAGAGGCAAATTTTCTTTCTCTTCCGTTCCAATGCTTGCTCTCTAATGTCTCCCATCATCCAATTCCAATCTTCTGATTGTCATAAATCAACTCTAGTTCCTGTTAATGTGAACTTAATTCCTTTCATTTATTTACAAAGTCCAGGAAATTGATTGACACATTTGCCTTTGGTACTATTTATATGGCAGGTTGGTGGTTGTACTCAAGTATGCATGGGAGATTTAACATTTGCCACCGTAAGAGGGGCAGGCCACCAAGTGCCAAGCGTCCAACCAAAGAGGGCTCTTTCACTGATCCAGCACTTTTTTGCTGGCACCCCTCTCCCAGATACCTCAAAATATACCTGATTTCCTCTTGACATTTCAGAGCCTTTCATTGTTTCATCAAGTATTTTGATTAGTGTTCGGGAAAGTTGTTTATTATATCACCAATACTATTTTGTCTGCAAAGGAATGGATACCGGGAAAAAAATATATACAAATGTGTTGAAATTTATTTTGAATCTCATAATTTCACATCGAAAGTTAAGTAATATTGAATTTGTTTTGTATCTCAAATTAAGAGTTTAGTAAAAGTATAAAGAGATTCATCTTTATAAATAAGATATTTTGATTTTAATTTGATAATCGCAAATAATTAGACACCAAAAAAAATCTAAGTGAAGGCTATTAAAATGGTATAATTAGGGTTTTGGATTACGTTTTGAGTAATGATTTTTTTGAGATTTTTTTCATTCTAAAAGTCTCACAGTTGTAAAGATTTATTTGTTAGTGAATTATGTTATATATTTATATATTCTTATTCTTTATTTAAGATTGCTATTTTATTCGTAGGTGTTGCGTGTGTATGGTGATTCCAACAAGTGATATCAAAGCTGTAGGTTTAAGACATGAAAAAAGTTGATGTTTTGAGATACAGGAAGAGATAAGTCTAGAGGAGCTCGATTTAAAAGAAGAGTTTGAGTTCAAGTTTTGAGGATTAATGATTGGTTTGCGTGAAGCGTGAAGACACACAAATGAAGATGATTGTGAAACTTTCATTGCAGATGGAGCTAAGTATGTCTAACATGAAAACATATGATTTGATGTAATTTGAGTCAATGTGGAGATTGTTAAGAATAGTGACTCAAATTCTATAAGAGAATTGTTTGGGATTGATTAGATATTACTTGATGGACAAGAAGACTAGTAGAAGAAGAATTTAAAAAAAAAATCTTAATAGGTAAGTTTGACTTACAGAAAAAGAATTCTAAGAAAAAAAAGATTTTTAATAGGTAAGTTTGTATGATTATAAATAAGTAAAATCTTTACAGGATTAGGTATGAAAAAAAATATATAAAAGAGTTATAAGATTTTATGGGTAGACACCAATAAGACTGTTGAATATTTACATCTTATGAGTATTTATGTTTGTTTGTGAGTGGACTAAAAGAGACTAAAAGGATTTACATAGGTATGAAGTATGGATGCATATAGGTATGTGTTTGTTTAGGTTGAGAATATTCTATAAGACTAAAAGAGATTAAAAGAGTCTATTGGTATTGATTGTTGAGCGGTTGATATGATTTATATGTTTGTAATTTTTTATAATTACTAGATCTTATTTTTCATCCAGAAATGTATGTTGATTGGACTGAACTAGTTAAATTGTTATCTCTTGTGTGATTAATTGATTATTTGATTATACTTTCGTTGGCTTAATTGGATAAAGGTTTTTAGCCTAACAAGTGGTATCAGAATTATGGTGATCTCTAACAAATGGTATCAGAGCTATGATGATCCCTAACAAAATGGTCATTTTAAAAATTATTATTCAAAGAAAGTTAGTTTTTGGTTTAATCAATCAAATTGCATAACTAGGTTTACAGAACAATTAATTTAATTAAATGGAACTTATTAAATTGGCTGAAAATGTTCATTCTGAAGTAAATGATTTTAAATGGTGGTTGCATCAGCTGTAATATAAGTTAAAGAGCTGCAAGAGATTTCAGAGCTGAGCAATCTCCGCATTAAAATAAAGTGTACATGTGTGCGCAGGAAATCGATCTAGGGAAAGAACACAAGTTTTGGACATCAGTCAATATACAGTTTCTTTAGAGATGTGATGTGAGGCCATGCATCTGAAACAAAGTTTCTCCAGGTTACTACATTAAAGAAATACCAGTCTACACATAAGGATGTCAATCCAATGCATTTGGAAATAACAAGAATTTTAAATGTTCTTAGAAACTGTTCAATCCATTCCCCTAGATACATAAGCTCTCCTACACTACTGGTTCTGGGTGTTATTAGAGATCATAGGCCAACAATGCTTTCAAAAATCTCTTTTTTGCAATCTTCATTGATTAATACAGAACGAGATAGCAAAGCCACAGATGAACCTTCTAACCTCGGGAAATGATGATTGGCAAGCTTTACAAGGAAAGTAGATGGCTGGCTATCTTTCTAATCAGCTTCATATTAACAACTTGGTTATCCAAGAAATCTGTAGAACCAATTAAGCATAAGCTAGGATAAATTCATAATACGGTTGATTAAGATAGAAACATCAATTATGAAACTTTCAACAATAAGCTTATTGAGTATCAAGCAGGGTTTTTTTCCTTCAAAATTTAATGTGAAATTGCAAAAATAAAATATCATAATTGACAATTAAAAGCACATACTTACATTAGTTGACTATAGTGATTGTTGGGAAATTTCATTGACTCTACCATCCTATAGACAAAGTGAGAAAGTCCGTCATAAATGACAGTAAAATGCATTATGCTGATGAGAATAGTTTTCTATCATAAATTAACTTACTGAAGTTGCACTTCTCTAGAGAAAAAATACAAACTGGTCTACTAATATCAATGATGGGAGATAAGTTATATTTGGAGTCCACGAGAGTATATCAAAAAATTTATACATATATATTGGACATCACTTGAACTTAAAAGCTTAAATTATTGAATTCTTAGATCCTCTATGTATATATAGTCTTGGATGGGTCCCAATACCTGTTGCATTAAAGAGTGCATATATACATATTAGATACCATTTGAGTCTAAAAGCTTAAAATATTAGGTTTTTGGATCCTTTATGTATATATAAGACATCTCATTCAAATTTCTCAATGAAGTGAAATTTTTTATTCACATGTGAACTTTATCCCAACAGTCAAACCATTAATCATCGGTGATTTCTATTTTCAGACGAGGTATGTGGGCTGTGACAGGCCAATATGCCCCCTTATCCTTCAAGCACTGTTGTTTTAGAAGATGACAGTCCCTGATACAAAGTCTTCCAAGTTTTACAGGTAAGCCTTCCTTCGATAAGCACTGAAGCTTAGAGCACTCGGAAATTTCTAGCTCTTCAAGCAATGTCAGATTATAGAGCCCCATGGACAGAGATCGCAAATTATGAAGTCTTTCAATATATATAGACACTAGAGTTGTGGGAAGTGGACACTTTTCATCTGGAAAGGAAACTATACCTGGTGCACCAGCAATGACCAATTCCCTGAGAGAGGTTAGGTTGAGAAGGTTCCATTCTGACATGGGCTGCTTAAGATTTTCACAGTCCCAGACCACAAGTACCAATAGGTTAGGGGGCAAGCCACCTTCAGGAAAAGAGACAAGACCAAGACAGTCACAAATTGTTAGAAACTGAAGAGAAGTGAGACTCAGCATTTGTTCAGGTAGAGACCTGAGACTGATTCAATGGGAGACATCAAATTTTCTCAGGTTGGGAAGATACATGCCCGTTTCTGGGAAGTATTCCAGAGCAGGAAACCTATTTAAGTTTAATTCTGTCAGATGAGTGAGACTGTGTAAGCACTCAGGCAAGCTTGCCATAGTCTTACATTTCGATATAGAAATGATCTCGAGTGATGCATTTTTGTGCAGCATCTTGTCAGAAAGGGGTTCCAATTGGGAACAATTCCAAATCTTAAGTATTTTAAGGCTGGTGGGTAATTTGCCTTCTGGAAATGAAATTAGAGAAGGGCAATTAATGATCTCCAAGTTCTCAAGATGAGATATGTTGCATGTGCTGTTATCAATCTGCATCAGTCCCTCAGGTAGAGACATCAGATCATTACAGTACCAATCCTCAACCGTCTAAGTGTGGTAGTTATCCTGCCACTTGGAAAGCATGTGAGAGCAGGGCAATCTTCAATCTCCAATTCTTCGAGAGGACAATTAAGCATCATCATCCCACTAGGCAGAGACTTTAGAGCCCTGCAATCTTTGAGCTTAAGATTTTTCAGCATGGGCACAAAACTTGTCTTGGGAAAGAATACAAGATTTGGACACGACTTAATTTGCAAATCCACAAGAGATGTGAAGCCATGCATCCCCCAAGGAGACTTCCAGAGATTGTAAGAATTCAACGATCCCAAATCATCAAGACCTCTAGATAAACCTTGCTCTTTTTCAGCCAATGACACAAACTGTGGACAGCCCGTAATTTTCAAACACTCAAGAGAAGCAATATTCAACAGAATAGCACCCTTCTGCCATAATGATGTCAATCCATTGCAGTTGGAAATGACAAGAACTCTAAGTGCTCCTGGAAACTGTACAACCCCATTTTGGAGACACTGAAGCTTTGGCCTACTCCTGGCTGTGACTGTTGTTAAAGAGGTTAGGCCAAGAATGCTTCCCAGTAACTCTACATTGCAATCTTCTATATTTAATTCATCAAGAGATGGGAAACTCAAAGATGAACCTTCTAACTTTGGGCAACGCTTAATTACAAGTTTCAAAAGAGAAGGAAGACGGCTGGGCAACTTTCTACTCAACTTGGGACAATCCTCTACCACGAGTTCACGGAGACAAGGAAATTCTTCCCATGAGTCTTCATTACCTTGACTAGGGGAAGACCAGCAAGTCCAGTCCAACATATCCTTAAACCTTAGAATTTCCAATAAAGGAAAAGGCTTAACAGAAGGAAAACCATGTCCATAAAACTCAACATCCACCTTTTGGACATTATCCATGCCTATTATGGTCAACATTTTTAATGAGGGTAGTCTCCCAAGTGATGGAAGACTTATGCTCTTTCTACATTTACAAAGTTCTAAGCACATTATGTTAGTCAATGAGGGATTACCTAACCAAGATGGAAATTTTTTACCGCCATAGAACAGAATTCTGAGCTTCTCCAGATTTTTATGAGGTAGCAGCCTTTCAAGAACATGCATTTCACCTTCCTCATTTTGGGGATTAAGGCTCCATTGCAAATCCAATGCTGTTAAGCCATGCTTGTCACTGAGATTAGCATTGCTAGCATCTTGAATATCTGAAACATTTTCCAATCCCAAAATGGAAAGCTCCCCGCGCAGATACTACAAGCCCCTTAATTCACTAACAGCAGACCCAATGCCTTTGCCCACAATGAATTTGGTCAAAGTCTGAAGATTCTTCAAATTACCAATCTGAATTGGCATCTCCTGTAAATTACTAGTATCAGTAAGATCGAGAACACGAAGGTTCTGTAGATTTTTGATAACTTGTGGCAACCTAGTAAGTTCTTCGCAACTTTGCAATATCAACGTTTGCAAGTTGAAAAGAAAACCCACAGATTGAGGTAACTGTTTAATTCTACAGCGAGACAAATTCAGGTAGCGTAAATGCTTCAACTGACCGATGGAATTTGGTAACTCACTATGCAATAGCCAATCAAGCATAGCACTCTTAAACATCTCAACCTTGGTAGCATATATTCTGTAATACATCACCACTTAAATAGCAATATGCTGCACAAGGTGGCATACAAGTTGGTAATGCAATCAAAGTTCTTAAATTCTTCATCTGACAGAGGATTCCAAATCTTTTTGCAACGTCGTACTGTTTACGAGAGAAAGATAAATGACGAATCTTTTCAACATCTGTGCATAACTTATCACCATTAAGCATATCCCCATCTTCAAAACTAAAGCATATTTCTTCAGAAACAAATTGAGCTAAATCATTTATGAGGTCATGCATCACAAATCGAGTTTTGTTGCTGTTTGACTGCTGGAAAAATGATCGTGAAAGTAACTCATTATAATAATCCAAACCTAAGTCCTCCATTTGACCTTTTGGCTGTTGTAAGAAACCCTCTGCCATCCACAGTAGAACCAACAGATCCTTGTCAAATTCATAGCCCTTTGGAAATATAGCACAATAAGCAAAGCATCGTTTCGAATTGGAAGGAAGATCATGGTAGCTCAATCTCAGAGCTGGAATTATACCACTTCTTTCTTCAGGTAAATTCCATATCTTGCTCATCAAAATTTCCTCCCATTCATCCCGATTTACTTTAGTGCGAAGGAGTCCTCCCAAGGTCTTAACTGCAAGTGGCAACCCTTTGCACCTCTTCACTATTTGCTCACCAACTACTTTTAAATTTGGGTATCCATCAAAATTGTTAGCTCGAAGAGCATGCCAGGTGAATAATGAAAGACAATCATCATTTGACAATTGCTTCAAATGGTATCCCACACGGTTAGCCACGACTGCTGCAACTCTTTCATGCCGTGTTGTCACCAGTATTTTACTTCCAGCTGCGCCTGCTGCAAAGGGTCTGCATAGTAGGTCCCATTGCAAATAGTTCTCATTCCAGATGTCATCTAAAACGATCAAAAATTTTCTCCCCAACAACTTCTCCTTTAGCCGCATTTGAAGTAAATTTAAATCCTCCAACTTGCCAATATCAGAAGCAACAGCATCAAGCAAGGTCTTTGTCACCCTAAGAACATCAAATTCCTCGGAGACACAAACCCAAGCTTTCAATTCAAATGAAGTCTTAATTCTCTCATCATCATATACTAACTGAGCAAGAGTAGTTTTACCAACACCTCCCATCCCTACAATTGGAACCACACCCATTTCACCACCATCCATCAACAAGTTAATCACAGCATCTTTATCCCTTTCCCTACCATAAACACGAGACTTAACAACAAGTGAACTGGTGGGCAGCCTCGGAAGCACTTTCTCAGATCTCCCTCCACCAATCTTTACTAAATTCAAATAATTCTTTCGTGCATCTAAGTCATCCAATCTTTCAGTAATTTCTTTTATTTTGTACTTCTCGGAATCAAAGATAATAGAATTTGGATTGATAGCACGGAAACGAGACGGAAGGATGAACTTCTTCCATCCCTTGTGGCTGCTTACTGAAGCCTGAGTCAGCTCCATTAGTTTGCGCTGCAAAGCCTCAGTGGCAAATTCATCAACAACATCTTCAGCATCAAAAGCAACATGTTGTAAATCCCTGAGCCAGAGTTTCACAGCACGACTTGTGGTTTGCTTTTCTTCAGCATCCTCAAGCAAGGCATTTATTTTAAGCAACAATTTCTCCCATTTTTGCATTTCGGCTACAACTTGCTCATCCCGTGTGAATTTAAGAAAGTCAGGGGACGACAACGTTTCAAATACGGAGCGGAAGAAAGCAGAGAGCATAGCATCAGCAACAGTGGATACAATAACCTCCATCTTAGAGTAGAAGAACTGAAATTGATAATGAAAGAGGATATGTTAAGCTTTCTTTTCTTGAATATCAAGTGCACAAGTAAGATTAAAACACGCACGAGGGAAGACAACGCAGAGCACCCTTCAAAGAAGGGCTTTCTCAAAAGGCTTGGTTCTCCTGCTGTCCATGACTGCTAATCTCCTTCCACCAAGGACAGCTAGGAGACGATACATGATGAAGCCTCGCAAGTGATCACTGAGCATCCAACTTAAAATCAATTCATGGTAAGTGAAAGGTTCCAACTGAATATAAAATTACAGAATATTTTATATTCATTAGATGTTGATAATCCATTTTAAATGTCTCCATCATGTGTAGACAAATACCAAAGATGTCTATCTGTATAAGTGAAAATAAATTAAATATATCACGTGATAAATTTTAAAAAAATAATGAAAGAAAATTTTAACTTTAATATTATTTGTGAAAACTCGTATCTAACTTGCAAATATTAACTTTAACAATCACCAGAGATGCATACACCGATTGCCGATGGCTTTGGTGTCCAGAGACTCACCCCTTCGAAAGACCAACAACTTCAGAATCTCGCGCCCAACGGTAAGAAAAATATGATGACCCTTTGGAATCTTAGTAGCTACAGAAGATCAAAGACAAGGTGAGATGTAAAGCCAATGACCTAACCAAGGCGATTAGTAGAAAAAATAGACAATGGAAAGATAAGAAAAAAGTTCTCCGTTGGCAATCACTTGGAGAGTGACTTTAGACTTGAAAAAACTCTATTTAACAGAAATTTAGGCATTTAGGGTGGACAAAAATATATTAATACTGCGAAATGCTAACAACCATAACCATTTCAGCTTTTCATTTCTAATTAAAAGGAAACAAAAGGTTAAAGCTTGTGAACAACCATGATAATGGCTGTTAGCGGAAATGCATCGTGTCACTGTAGATAATTTTGAAAAAAATAGAAATAATATGAAAGAAAAAAATATGATTGAGATGTAAAAAATATTATTTTAAAGATAATTATCAGTATATAATAAAATTTTAAGTAATAAAAAATTAAATTTTTTAAAATTAGAATTAATAAAATTAATCATGTAAAAACATTATTTATAATAAATAAAAAATTACAAATTTTTATTTAAAAAATTATGATAATTTGTATAATCTTGTTTTTTTATTCAAATAATAATATTATTTGAATAATTATTTATTTTAAATAATTATAACTATTTATTTTATCATAAAACAATTATTTTTATTCAAATAAGTTTATTTAGAATAAAAAATAAAAAAATTTTAATATTTAAAAAATTAATAAATAAAAAATTTTAAAAAATCTATTTACTAAACAAGAAAAGGTTTAGATGAAATTATTTAGATAAAATTCGTGAGGTTTTTTATTAGAAATAATTAAATAAAATTAAAAATTAAAAATCATAATCAATAGATTAAAAGATATGTTAAATAGATTAAGTGCACAAAATTTTAAAAAATAATTAATCAATTTTGATATATATTTTTAGATAAATGTTTTTATTAAAAATATTAATATAATTTTTATCGTTAAATAATATTAGTCAAATTTGAGTTGTAAATAATATTTTTAATAATTTTTTTTATATATTATTGATTTTCGTATTAAATTTTATTAATTTATTGATTTGGATATTTTATTAAATTTTTTTATAGAATTAACTTTTAAAAAAAATTTATAAATTTCACCAAATAAATTTTATGTGAGTTATATCCTTATTAAACAACCTCAAATATCTAAGTACCTAACTTTTTACTTTTAAAATTTTTTGATCTATTAAAATTTTTTTTTAAAAATCCAAATAATTTGACCAACTCTAATTCTCAATTTAATTCCTTAAAAATACAAATAATTTCTTTTAAAATACATACAAATAATTTTTTTTAATATAAAATATGTCACATTTTAAATTATCAGTACATTATTTTATTTAGTGTAAAATACATCACATTCTACAATGTAACCGCCACCCAATATAGGTTTTTCGACAAAAGATGCTTTTTGCATGGTTTGACTATTATCAGTGACACATTCTACAATGTAACCGCCACCCAATATAGGTTTTTCGACAAAAGATGCTTTTTGCATGGTTTGACTATTATCAGTGACACATCCCACAAAAAATGCGTCTTACACGGTTTGACTGTTATCAGTGACTTACACATCGCTACTGTCTGGAGTCATGGCACGGTCCACTTCACGTCTTATATGCTTCAATTTATTCCACAAAGAATTCTATTTAATCATGCCTGACTATTCTCTATATCCAGAACACTTAGCCATTCACGTCTTGACCAAGACAACTCTGAAACCAGTCAGTCCCCGTCCCGATCCGACGGTGCGTAGACGTATCGTAGCTTATAACCCGGATTCGATTCCAGCATCTGCTCTTTAATTAACGATTTCAAAACTGACGAACAAAATGGACCGTTGGCGGATGATGACCTGGATTGCACCTTCGCATGTTGCAGAATGTTTTATTTTTCCTTGCGCAAGTTGATGGTTGTCAAAACTGAAAAAGTTAAAAAAGACAAGAAAAACAATACCCTGATAATTAAATTACATACGTTTTCTGTTTTTCACCTTATTTCCGGTCTCTTGTGTTCTTTGAGGATTGATCCTTTCAACTTTCATCAACTCTACCCCTTTTAAATGTAATGCTGCGTAAGGAAATTTTCCCAGTCAGTCTTCATTAGAAAATCGATAGCATCAAAGCCAAACCGTGTGTTATTTTAATCTGACCATAATCCAGCAGACCACCATAGCCGATTTTTACAAAGATGTAGTCTCAAATATGTAAAGATACCATAGGGTCCTAATCAAGCTGGACAAGGACTGATCATAATTTTAACTGAAAAACCTGTATGAAGGAAAAGAGTTAAGAGGAGCAATCTTTTACTAATCAAGACGGATTCTTTCATCAATCAAAGTCATATAATCAACAGACAAACAACTCTTTTTTTCCAATTGCTGCAATAACTTTAAAGGGGCCTGCACCTTCAGAAGGACGGCATGCTCTGTAAAGTTAAATCATACTTTCCAATTTTTTTTTTTAAATGACAACTTAACAATTGGTACACAAAAATTGAGTGGAGTGGTGATATTGATCCAATTTAGTCAAACGTCACCTTGACCTGCACAATATAAAAGACAACCAAACTGTGGGTCAAATATCCACATTCCACAATATAATCCTCATTTATAGACAAATTTTAGCTGTAAGTCTCGGGTCAATATAGGGTAAATCTTTAATTCTAACCAGACATAATATGTACAAGTAATTAAGATACATAAAACATGTAAAAAAAATAATTAAGATACATGAGACAAACTCCAACTCCTGTAGACACAACTACAGCCCTAACAGCATAAGCGAAGGAAACGTTGTTGACTGTTTTCTGCAACAGATCCAAAACTAAAACCCTTACGCGTCAGCAGTCTAACTTTCTCCTGAGTTTGCTATCAATGGTTAAATAATGAGCACATTCACAACCTGTAATGACAGATGATTCATGGAATTAATGTAATTCAATCTTTAAGTAACCACGTGCATTAGAATATTATCCACAAAGCAACCGAATATCAAGGAATTAAATGCATTTGAAGTACTCTCCATTCCCATTGAAAATTTTAGAAAATCAATGAAACCAGTTAGGCGTGCATCCGGGAATAACACAAGAGTCCGGAGAGTGCTCTGCAGCCACATGATGAGGCAGACAGGGATGTTTACTACATTGATATTTACAATCTCTATGCCCCTTTATGCCACAATTCCAGTCTCACAATCCAGCCCAAGGAGCCTTCTGTAAGTTGACTTTACACCCCACACAACAGTTGAACGTTCTTTTCGTAGTCTCATTAGGTTAGTCTTTTGAGGAGCTCTTATTTATATGGGCCAAGTCCAAATTTTAAGACCATTTCAAGCTTGGGCACAATAAATCTCGGGTAATGGCCCAGTTCTTCTGTCACCTCTTTTGGGCTCGTAGTCAAGAAAGTCCGTGGGGTTAGTTAAACAATTTCATTCGAAATTCTACCAAGTTTAGTGTAATATTTGATTTTTATCAGCTTTGCTAAATCGAGCTAACAGGTGGTAACTTTTGTGGCTTGTGGCTGGTGTAGGTGATGAATTTTGATCCATGCAGCGACTATTACGTATATGCTTATCTAAACAGGGCTGATGCCTGATGTTCAAGAGGCCATGCATACCAATGTAACAAAACTCGACCACGATTGGGAACCCCGCGGCGACATCATCAGAAATGGGGAGATAGCCCTTCAACAATCATTCCCCTTCTACGGGAGTAAATGGCTAAGGACTCAGAGTGTGGATTTTTAGGCAATAAAAGCATTGCCGTGATCGATTTTTATACATATCGTAGGTGCCTTGTGTAGTGGGTGAAATGATTGATGGGAACAGAATAGTAGACCAAAAGACCCAAAACTTTTTCTAGATTTTATCAACTAACCCTCATGGCCTTGGAATAATAGTAGGACCATATAGCAGAAATTCACCCTTTACCATAAAAAATTGTTGTATCAGATCTTGATACCTTACGCGTCTTTGTTGCATGTCACGCGGTGGTGATACAGATTGGAAGGATGCCAGTTACTTCAACCAATTACTCCATTAATAAGATGAAGCTTCCAGTTAAAACAAAGTGGCATCCTTGGTACCTTGATGGAGAGGCAAATTTTCTCTCTCTTCCGTTTCAATGTTTGCTCTCTAATGTCTCCCATCTTCCAATTCCCATCTTCTGATTGCCATAAATCAAATCTAGCTCCTGTTAATGTGAACTTAATTCCTTTCATTTCTTTACAAAGTCTAGGAAATTGATTGACACATTTGCCCTTGTTTCTATTTATATGGCAGGTTGGTGGTTGTACTCAGGTATACGTGGGAGATTTAACATTTGCTACCGTAAGAGGGGCAAGGCACCAAGTGCCAAGCTTCTAACCAAAGAG